CGCGCTGCTCATGTTCTGGGTGTGCCTCTGCAGCACCGCGTTCTGCTCCTCGAAGGCCACGTTCATCTTCCGCAGGCGCCGCAGCTCCGCCTCCCGAGCTGCAGCGGGAGCCAGGTCAGAGCTGGCACTGCCTCCCCCTACCCTCTGCCAGGCCTTTGCCCGAGCGGTGCCCCGCGCCAGGCCTGAAGGCATTGCTCTGCCCCCAGCCCCATCCTTGAGCTCCCGGGCCTCGGGGCAGGTGAGGAAAACGGCTTGGCTTTCGGGGTAAATACTCCCACTCCCTACCTGTTGCCTTGGAGCCCTCTTTCGGCCCACCCTCCTCCTAACACCTGTTCCCCCAAGAACCCCGAGTTGGTGCTCACCTTTGTTTTGGTCCAAGAACTCTTCAGTGAAAATGGGGACATCAAAGGTGGAGAAGCCATCGCAGTCCCCACCCTGGGACAAGACAAGTGGCAATGTTTATTTTGAGGGGGCATCCAAATGCCCTCTGGGACATCCCCCAAGCCTGGGGGTCTCCTTGAGCCACTGAGTTCGAGTCTGTTAACATTCCCAGGGGGTGGCTGCCCCTACTTACACAGGGTGGGCAGGGCCGTTCACTTTCCATGAGCCTTGGTCCTGGCTCACTCAGGGCCTCACCCAGGGGCCTAAAGACTTCCGGACCTTTCTCACCTAGGCGCTCTGCTTGGAGGAGGACACTTACCTTGTGTCCATTCAAGAGGGTATTCATGAGCCCGGAGCCCGAGTCCTCTGGTGGGGGAAGGGGGAGGGCAGGGTCAGCCTCCCAGGTCTCCTCTGACTCTGCTTTGCATATGCTGCTCCCCCTGCCTGCAACACCCGCCTTCCCCTCCCTCCCATGTGAACCCCATGGAGGTGAGGGGTCTCCAGGCTCACCCCTCAGAGCAGGCACTGGGCTGCCTGGGGCTGGGGCCCTTCTCACCTTTCTTGATCTTCTTTTCCTGGATCTTCTCGGTGCACATCTTGTAGGCTTCTGACTGCTGGTACGCGCGCAGCTCCTTTATGTACTGCTGCTTCTCCCGCTCGGCCTCATCCAGGTACCGCTGGCAGGGCAGCATGAGAAGGCTTGACCCAGCCCCAGGGCCGAGGAGGCCTCCAAGGCCAGGCCCCCATCCATCACTCATCTCACAGTGCTGGACATCCCCCCCGAGCTCCTTATTACCCTCCAGACAAAACCTGGCCCCTGAGCCTGCTGCTCAGGGTGCCTCCTAGCTTCCCACCTCACCAGCTTATGAACCACTCTACGGGGTCTGACTATAGGCTCCCACCTCCAGGCTGCCCTCCAGCACCCGTTTCACCTGTTGAAATCCCACTTATGAGGGTACAAGCCAGTGGTGAGTTTTGTTACCTTTTCTTGATGCTTATGTAGTTTTTAAATTACTAGGATTTGAAAATTGGATTTCACATAAAAATCTAGCTCCCGCCCCTACTTCTTTTAGACGTTGGGTGACCACACTGGTTAAGTTTTCTGTCTAGTCTCCCCTATTACTACCCTTCCCCAATGAACTGGGGAGGCCTCATGGGCGGTCAGTTCTCCAGGAGGAAGAACCCTCCACACCAGGTCCTTTCAGGATATGGCTGCGGGGGCCTGAATGGGTGGGGGGAGGTCAGTGGTCCCGGGCTGGCCCCCTCCGCCGCCCCCTGCCGTCCACCTGCTTCTCTGTGGGCTGCAGTTTGCTCCACTCGGCACCCAGCATCTTGGTGATCTCAGGAAAGGGCAGGTCCGGGTGGCGCGTGCGAATCTGCTCTCGCCGCTCGTTCAGGAAGCGCACGTAGCCAGTGACAGGTGCTTTGGGGCCATTTGGCAGGATCTTCTTTCGCTTCTTTCCCTTGGGCCAGCCTCGCTTCTTCACAGGCTGCGGAACCAGGCAGCGCCGTTGGGAGGGGCCTAGAGGGGGGCCCAGAGGGGGACGGGGCGGAGCCTTGGAAGACGTGGGCGAGGCTAGAGGTGAGGTGGCCAGCCAGCAGGTAGGACCCAGAAGGCCTGGAGGTGTGGCCAGGTCAGGGGCTAGGATTGTGAAGGGGGGTCGAGGAAGCCTGGATAGAAGTGAGGGGTATCAGAGGTACTGGAAACAGGGGTTCAGGCTGTTTTCTGTTGTGGGTGTGGCCTCTAATACGCCAAAAGGTGCTCCCCACCCCCACGAGGCAAGCAGTGGGCGGAGCTTGCATTCGGTTGTGGGCGGGGCCTGGCCGCAGAGTGGCAGCGGACCTTGTGAGGCGTGGCATCTAATATGGGGCGGGGTCTCAGCTTCCAGACGGAAATCTGGGCAGTGGGCGGAGCCACAGCGGGTCAGCTCTAGTCCGAGGTGAGGCTGGAGACCCAGAGCCTCCCCCACCACAATTCGGGGGCTCTCACCTCCTCCTCGTGGGACCCCTTCTCACTGGCTCGCGGGCCCTCGCCGCGCTCTTGCTTGACAGCCACCACGAAGCCCCCATGCTGTGCAGGAGCCTTGCCGCCCGCCGGCCTGGAGTCACGGGAACGCCAGTCACTCCCACCCCCACCCCGACCCCGACGGTGGGGCTGGCAGAGCGGGGGCCTGAGTCCTGGGAGCAGGGGTCTCTGGGGAGCAGGGTCCGGAGGTCGGATCAGGAGCCAGTAGGGACCCCTGGGAGAGGCTTAAGCCACAGGACTCCAGGGTCACACCCATTCATTACCCCCGACGGCAGATAGGGCAGCAGCGAAGGGACCCGATCCCTGTGAGGGGGGCAGTGGGGACCCCTGGGAGGGGCTGGAGCCCGGGCGTGGGGAGAAGCCCGTGGGGCGCTAAGGCAGGGACTGCCCGGGTGGCGGGGAGTCGAGACCCTGGGGCCGGGGTCGGGGAGCACCAACAAGGTGGGCGGGGCTG